AGATGCTTTGCACAAAAGCCTAGAGACTTTGTTATCAGCCCCCAGTTTCCTGCTCATCACTGCCTATTATCTCTCCCCCAACCCTCTCTCTCTCTCTCTCTCTCTCTGGGATTTTAAAGCTCTTCCTAAATCCAGATGCTCTGAACGCATAAAGACGCTTTAATTATAATAATATTTAAATTAAATAATAATGTTAAAGAAAGTCTGATTTCTTTTCACTTGTCAAACATCTAATTATTAAAGCAGAGAAATTTATTGTTGGGACACTTTAATCACCTTAGGAGCAATGATGGGGTAGGATAAAATATAAGCTAAAGTTGCTTTTTTATGTTAATATTTGACAATATGTGGAGTGGATTTCAGCAGATTAAGAGTGGCCTTAGCCATACATCAGAACCATAAGCCCTTCCTTGCGGGACACAGTGTTACACGTTGCCATGGCCATCCACTTACACCCCTGCAGAGAAGTGCCAGACAGGGAGACGGCCACACTGTCCTGGGCGTGGCTTCACCGGGGTCCCGTGACCGCCTGCGAGTGTGCAGCTCCCCCTGCACAAGTCATGGACTGCATTTCTTTACTGGGTTTTATTACTGTGAAGAAAACCTTTTTATTTCCTTCACATGATTTGACACTAAAAAATATTAAAAAGAACTTAATAAAAGCCATGACAAAAAAAAAAAAAACCAATGTGTTGTGTGTGTATCATTTTTATTCTTGGGACCAGTTTTATTATTTTTGGAACTATTACAAGACTTCTGTTAAACATGCTGAATGCTAAGAGGAAACAGACTCTTGGCAAATGTGGAAAACCAATTACAGAAAATGTCCCTGCAAGAGCTGCAGAAACAGAGGGAGCGACGGAGAAGTTTGTCCTTCCCCTTTTGTCCCACTGTGGAAAACACTCAGACGGTGGAATCACCACGAAGAAAAACATGACTGTTACATTGTGGTCCCTATTTTTCTATTTACAGGCAAAAGACAGTAACTGATGCTTCTGAGTTAAATCTACTTCTAATGTAGTAGAGCAGCAGTCCCCAAACTTTTGGCACCAGTGACCAGTTTCATGGGTGGGGTCGGAGGGGGTGGGGGGGAGGTGTGACAGAGCTCTGCAGCCTGGTCCCTAACAGTCCAGGACCGAGGCCTAGGGGGGTTGGGGACATCAGTAGAGTGTAACATATTAATAGAATTACTTTTCTTAAAGCAAGTCTGATAGAGGAAAAAGTAATATAACTTATGAGAATTATTTGCTACATACAAAAGAAAGCTTCACCACTAATAAAGCAAATTACATTAAATTTAAAAATACTTAAATTGTAAGTATTAATTTATTAAACTTTCAGGAGCATATCTGCTGTAAACAGTGTCATAAAAGCATGCTATCATGTACATACTGATTAAAGAATATAATTTTATCTATAATACATGCTGACAATATTGAAATAAATTTCAATTTTTAAAAACTAGAAAGTTGGTCTAGAAAAAGAATCAATAGAAGAGATAAAACTTATTTTCAGTTATTACTCGTCTATTACTTTATGATGTTCTACCATGCCTGAGACCCTGTGCTAAGCTCCAGAGAGTATGAGTGAGTGAGACATCATCTTTGACCTTAAGGAACTTCCAGTTTGGGAAAGACAAGGCAGCAATTACAACACAGTGTGGGAAATGCAATAATAATGGCAGCCTGCGTGGAAGGAGCTCAAAGAAGTCTTCACAGAATATTCTTGACAGAAAGCACAGCCATGCAAGGTTCAGAGTGGGGGCAGGTTAGGGAGGTGGTGTGATGTACCAGAGAACAAGGATGCAGAAGGGAAAGTCACAGACTAGACTGGAGGTAGAGCGAGGGCTGGACGGTGTCTGATTCAGGCATGGTCCAAGGAAGAAATGAAAGGCACTTTCATTTGGGATTTTTGAAAAGACCTTTAAGTGTAGGCAGCCTTTGATGAAGCCTGTGTTGGTAAGGACACCTGAGGGTGAAGTGTGGCAGAGTTAAAGGAACCAACAAGGTGAGGCCACCAGGGACGGGCAACAGCGGGAAGCCATCACCCGCCCTGGCTGGAGGGGTCATAGAGAAAGGGGCCTCGCCAGAATCCGCTTGTGTGCCAGGCCCAAGGGAGAGCGGCCACCCGCTGAGCACTAAGAATACTAGGACAAATCTAAGTAAAACCTCCTGGTACTTGTTATCAGATTTAAAATATTTTTGCACATTTGTAAGATATTTTAATATTTTCATTTGAAAAGTATCAGATGGTGAAAGCTTAATTATGGAACGTAGTTTAAAAAAATCAAAATCACAACCATTAGCTAATATGAGGCCAGGTATTTCTCTTTAGTTGGACCTGCACATGTGTCTCTCTGCAGGTCACCCACTGGCGGCAGAGTGACTCAGTGGGTTGGGCTTGCCAGCTGCGGTCACATCCTCCATGCTGCTCGGTGGGCTTCCCTGCTAGAGTTTCAGGGAGTTGGAGAACTATTTGTTGGCCAAAGATAAAGAGCATTAAATGCTGAGTATGGATGGGAGGTGGGAGCAGGACGATGGGTGGCTACAATCCTTTTGTCCCTCTCAGCCCCTAGAACATCAAATCCTCACACTGATCCTTAATCACAAAAGTTAAACAGACTCAGCCAATTCAATTTTCAGTGATAATAAGATCCAAATCACATGGATTAATGTGTTGCAAATAATCCCTTTCAGAATAATTTTCTTTCTAACTTCTTAACCCACCTTATATAGGCACTAAGAATAAGCAACAACTGGGATTGATTTGACACTGACTACCCCTTTTTCTCCTGTCTTTGGCAGAGCACCATAAAGGCTGCAAACTCTAGAGACCAAGGTAAATCAGAAGGGCAGCAACCCATTAGCCTTGTCATTGAGGAGGTGCCACCTGTCAGCCAAAGGTGCAGACTGGAGAGGAGATGCAAAAGCAATCTTAAAAGCAGTCCTTTGTCTCCGCTTATGCAAATGAACCCCCAAAGGTCCTGTCTTGCACTCTTGGTTCCTCCTCCCTTCTCCATCTTCTGAAGGACTGGTGACTCTAGGTCAGCCACAAGTGAATGACTGAGTATGCCAACAACTCTGGATGATGCATCAGATGCCACAAACACTGCCAATAGGTACAGGGTTCTATGGAGCAACCTCTGAAGGAAAAACAGCATACTTACCATGCACATTGTCCATCAAATTCTGTAAAAGAAGACAGAAAGGCCGGGCGGAGGTGGCTCACGCCTGTAATCCTAGCACTCTTGGGGAGGCCGAGGGCGGGCGGATTGCTCGAGTCAGGAGTTCAAAACCAGCCTCAGCAAGAGCGAGACCCGCGTCTCACTATAAATAGAAACAAATTAATTGCCAACTAATATATATATATAAAAATTAGCCGGGCATGGGGGCACATGCCTGTAGTCCCAGCTACTCGGAGGCTGAGGCAGGAGGATGGCTTGAGCGCCAGGAGTTTGAGGTTGCTGTGAGCTAGCCTGATGCCATGGCACTCACTCTAGCCTGGGCAACAAAGTGAGACTCTGTCTAAAAAAAAAAAAAAGAAGAAGACAAGATTCAAATATGAAGGGACATTTCTGTTAAAAATTATAGGGATGCTTCACTTTCTGTAGCAAAATAAATACAGATGGCAATCTTATATTCACATGGTCACCTGAAATATAAATGAATGAAAGGGCTAATGCAAAAATGTTTAAATGAGTAAAGTGTTCAAAAAGTCTGATCAAAAATAGATTAATAATCTCTGAAGTGAAAAATAAATCCTCATATCTATAGAAATAAATCTATTTAGTGAGTGAGTGAAAGAAAACATGCAGCCATATGACTTAGAGCAGTCAGATAGAGTTTTAGCCTAGAATCCCAGCTCTGTACCCACGGTCAAGCACTGGGCAAGTTACTGAACATCTAGAGCTTCAATTTCTACACCTTTAAAATGGGGATAATAATTGTGCATGCCCCTAGAATTTTTGTGAAGATTAAATAAGATACTTAGAAGTGTCTGGCACATATACCAAGTGTTCCATAAATATTATCACTCTGTATAGATTAATTTATAGTTAAATATTGAATACTGAAGCAAAAATCCTAAGGAAAAGACTTGCCGGAAAAGCATCAAACTTGTTTTTTTATGGCATTTTATACCTGTTAGTCTATATCATCTTATATGATGCTGTGTTTATTATAAACAAATTTATTGTTCCACTCAGCTTAATCTCTAAATTATAATCATTTACTCAATAACGTTTAAGTAAAATTAGTTTAATAATAAAAATCAGCTATTTGAATGCTAGAAGTTTAAATAAAACTCAATTTTTGTCGCTGGAACAATTATTTCTGTTTCACTTCTGGGCAAAGCAGAATCTTTACACTGAAGATTTCTGCTTTTTAATTCTTAAAATAAACCGTGATTGGTGAGTGTAAAAACCCCAGAACAACTGCCATTTGAAGAAGCTGCAACAATGTTTTACAATTTCCCTTGCATCTCCTCCCTTTTCCATGGAGGGAGGAGGAGGGACGTGGGTGGTAGAGGATGGGGAAGACATACCACATCAGTATAACTTTGAGGAAAGTATGTAAGATAAATTCATTTAACATCAAATCTGGTTTAGTGGGAATCCTTCTAATAAGAAATGAGGTCATGTCTCTTGCAATGAAACATGTCATTAAATTTATCTTCTTTTCTGGACACTCTCCTTCCTTCCTTTGTTTGTCATTTCCAAATCTTTATTTCTCAATTGAGAATTAATCTGATTATTCGAGTAAATAAATCACTGATTTTAATTTCGAAAAGGCATGAAACTTACGCTAAAAAAAAAAAAACTATTTCAACACTCTCTGCTTTTAACTTTACAATAATTTTTTCCTATCTAGTTTCTTGAAAAGCAAATACCAAGTTAATTTTCTTCAAAACTTTCCAAACATTTTCCACGTGCCTCTTATTTCAGGTGTGTCTTCCGTTTTACACATCTCTTCTGCTCTTTTGATGTTGCAACAAAATGGGGAGACGCGTTATGCTTTCTCGTAATGGTCCATTACCTAGAAACATTTTTAGGGTAAGAAAATCCTCCTCTTCACATTGGCTTATAACTGATTGATCTCCACATTTCTACAGTGTTCTACTTTCTCCCCTCTTCTTCCCTCCCCAGCCCCAGAGACGCGCCTCCCTATGACGTCCTGGCTGGAGGCCCCGGGCTCAAGTGATCCTCCTCCCAGCCTCCTGCGCAGCTGAAGACCACAGGCGGCGCCGCACGCCCGGCCTAATTTCCCTTCCCTTCAAAATTACTCTCTAAGACATTACGACCCACTTAAATAACCCCCGCATATTTTCAAAGGTAATCTGAGCAGAATCATAACCTCCTCGAGGCGGCTGAAAAGGTTTCATCTGTTCCAAGGCCTTGAGGTATGACCCAACACACACGCTGCCTGGAACTGGAAGTCTAGAATCGGAGGAGAACAGCGCCTGGCGACGGGCGAGCCTGGAGAGCTAACCAGTCTAGCGCCTTCTTCACACACACGGAAACTAAGGGGGAGACGCATGGTTATTTTTACTTTAAATCTTACAGAGGACACTCAGAAGGACCGTCACGGACCCAATGAAAGGAGTCTTGAGGCTCTCACTCTGCGCTTTTATGACAGTTGGTCCTTTCAATTACCTCAGTATTTTCCTCTCAGTTTAAAGGAAACCGTATCATTTCATTTCCCTGTTGAGGGCGATTCTGTGTTTAGAAACGCGCACCTTTGCGGGCGCGTTCTCAGAACCGTGATCTCCCAAGAGTAACGTTTTCGCACCAGGCGTTCCTCCGCTGGAAGGACGCGGGCCGCGGGCAGCCTTCACGCGGAGGGCGGGCGGCGGCCGGACCGAGGCCGCGGCAGACAATGTCCGCATTCACTGCGGCCTCCGCCAATCACAGGCGCGGCGCCTCCCGGCCCCGCGCGGCGCCGCGGCCGAGCCGTGCCCGAGGAGAAGCTGGTCCCGCGGCCATCTGCGGCCGTCCCGGCGGAGCGCGCGGCGCTCCCACCGGCCCGGCCCGGAGGCTCCGGGCGGCGGGCGCCGCGGCGTCCCTCGGGCAGGGCCGAGCACGAGGGCAGGACGCGCCGCCCTCTGGCTCGAACTCGGCGCTGTCCCTTTAATGAGCCTCCTCCGGGCGGACAGGAGCGTCTGCGGCCCAGCCACAGGGGCAGCGACATCCGGGCTACCGGGCGGGCGACGGCCTCTCGGGCAGCTCCTCGTCCCCGCAGGACGCCCGGCCCGCCGCGGCTGAGGAGGGCCGCGGGACAAGAGGGGGCCTTCAGGCCACATGAACCCCAGGCCTGGGGGGGCTTCTCTGCCCCCGTCGCCGCCGCCGCCGCCGCCGCCCGCCCCACCTCGCGGACTCCGGGGCCGGGACGCTGGGACCAGCACGCGGGTCACGAACGCTCAGCCGCGGGGCCGCGACGCGCGCGCCCGCCTCGGGCCCGCCCCACCTCCTGCGCGTGCCCGGGGGGCCGGGCGCCGCGGAGGCAGCCAATCAGCGCCGGGCGGCCTGGCACCGCCCCGAAGTCCTCGCGGGGGGCGGCGCGGGAGGGAGAACTTCGTGGGGGGCGCGGCGACGGCGAGCGCTGGGGAGAAGCGCGAGCGCCGGAGGGCCGGGAGGCTGGGCGCGGGGCCGGGAGCTCGGACTCCCAAGCTCTGCGGAAGTGGAAGGGGCCGGAGCGGCGGGAGGGCGCGGGCCGCGCGTGAGAACCGGCGCGGGCGGGTGGGCTGGGGGAGGGGAGGGCCGGGAGCAGGTGGCGCGGCCGGAGGAGGGCGGGGCGGGGGTGCTGGCGCGTCCAGGAGAAAGGAAAGCCGGGGGTGGCTGTGCGGGGCTGGTGAGCGTGCAGCCGGAGCGCCCGAGGCTTATTTATGCAGGACGGAGAATTTAGAGAAGTTGTGTACTTGTGGAGATACATTCTAACATTTTTCCTCTGCTCAGCTTTAAAAATGGCTACATGTTCTTAATACCTGGTGATGAAAGTTGGTCACTTAGTATTTTATCATGAGGGTTGGGAGAAAGAGGAACAAAAGGCGTTTAAAAGCAAAATTCATATCTGTAATCCACTCTGCCGGAAATGTGAGAAAGAATGTATGTTTCAACAGTCGGATGCATTGAGTTAACTGGTAGGGTGGCATGGGGGTGTATTGGCTGGGACAGTCACTGCCGAGTGGTCGTGAACAAGCTCCTACCCGAAAATCTTACTTCCCCTACCTGCACAATCGGAGCAATGAAATCCCCTGCCTAGGTCACAGCATGTGACACTCCCGTGTATATTTGGAGAAAAGAGGAGTATAAGCACTGTCCGGGCGTACGGGTGGGGACCCCGGGGAGCTCGCTGGGCCGCTTTCTCTGTGCGCGCTCGGGATGGTCTCGTCCACTCCCAGAGCGTCGTCTTGCTTCCAGATCGCCCCTGTCTTGAAGTCCAGGCATACTTTAACTTGGGTGCCACGGAAACCTCAAAGTCTGCGCGTTCTAAACAGAGCTCTGCACCTTTTTCATCTTAGCCACGGCATCACTACAACCTGGTCGTCAGCCCCCAACCCCAAATCATTAAGCCGCAGGATCCGTTTTACGTCCCTGCTACTTGTCATCTGCTTGTCGCTCCTGCCACGCGCTGACTGCCCCAGGGCAGGGCACCAGCGTCTCCCACCTGGACCCCGCCTGACCTGCTCTCTGGCTCAGCCTTTGCCCCTCCCCAGTGCAGCCAGCTAGATGCTTTATTTTGTTGTTAATCCGGTCGCGTTACTCCCGTTTGATATTTTTTATGGGCTCCCTGTTGCTCTCAGGATAAAGTCCTATCTCCTTAAATTCACTTTATAAGAACCTCCAAATCCAGTTTCCGCTTTCGTCTTGGGCTGGATCTCTTACCTTGGGCCACTCCTCCCACACTTCCCCGCTTCCAGCCAACCTGAACTGCTTTCAGTTCTCTGTACGTGGGGAGTCCTCTGAGCCGCTGCAGCACTTCCCTGTCTCCTCCGTGCCCTGTGAGGTGGCTTCCTCCCCTTGCTGCACCTCCCTCCCCAAAGTGAGGGCTAGGGGCGCCCTTAGCACCTCCGCCTCCACAGTGCACCCCTATCCCTACACTGCGGTCGCCTGCCGTCCTGCTGGGAGCACGTCCCACGCCAGCCATTTGGACCCAGGGCATTGTTTGCAGTTCCTGGGATGGTCCTGGCTGGCCATACTGCACAGAGCCCAATAACCCTTTTAGAACACACAGTGGTGGGTGCAGAAAACCGAACATGAGTAGGTGTTTGCTAATTGATTCATTTTATATTGCTGCATTTTTCAGTGTTTACTTTCTCCTCTATAAGAATAACGTGTTTTTTAAAAACATGATATAATAAATGTTAACATTATATGTTTTTGTCATAATCAGCTACAAATCTTTCAGCAGAAATAGTGTGTGTGGTTTGTGAAATGAAATTCTGAAACAGTAGCTAGCTGTTCAATGCAAAATGGACAGAAATGTTCATTTTAAGCTTATACTCTGAAACTTTGAAACTGAGCTGAAATTAATGTTCCAATGATGATTGAAGAAAGGCATGGAAGAAAAAGGTATTAAATGAGAGTTCTAGTTCCTTGCTTGTTATTATTAATTTTTGAGATAGTAATTATAAATAGGATAAGAAATTGCTCTGGTACCATCTTTTTTTAAAAAAAAATCCTAGTACTCTTAACATTTTTGTTTATATGAGATGTCAGTATAACAAACTGAAACTCTCATTTTCCTTGTGCTCACTCCCAGCTAGCAATGCTAACATATGTACCTTAAAATCTGTAGTATTTCTAAACATGGTCCTGCTACACACTTTTCTATAAAGTTAAACAAGAATTCTTTGTTGAGCAATGTAATATTTAGAGGGGAGGATAGGGGAATAAATCATAACTACTGCAAATTGTTTCCCTTCAGCCTTACCCTGAAGGAGATCCTTGTTGGTTTTCTCATTACTGTACAACTAGTCTGTTGACTTTGTTACACTTTGGTGGAAAAGAGTAGAATTAGTAAAAAATAAAAATAGAAAAGACAGGGGGAGGGTTTGTTTAAGAAAATAAGCAAAAAAAAATATATAAAAGTAAAGCAATAATGTTGAACTAGAAAAGGATAAATAAATTAATTTGTGTCCATGCTTTTGTGCTATAATTAATATAAGATCTTATATTGTCCAATTTATTTAATGTAAACAATATTTAAAGCAGAAGAAATATGCATTATAATTATTTACTGTTTCTGCAGAAAAATATTCTCCAAGTATGTACCTTATCTGTTTATAGGACCTGCCAAATGACTGTTATAAACAAATGATAAGAGAAAAATAAATGCTGGAGAAATGGCTTTTCTTTTTAATGTAAGCTTGAATAATTTTGAGTTTAGAAAATATTTTAGACACTGATTAGGCAAAAGTTCAATGAGTACATTTTATTTACATTTTAGCTAACTGCATTTTTCACTTTTTAAAACCATTTAAAAATCTTATTTCCAAACTTAATGGCATGGTAAAGGATTTTTAAAAAATATTTGTAATAAAACATTTTTTAACTAGCTAATTTAAGAGTGTATCTACAATGTAAATACATTTCAGCCTTATTTAAGCATGCCAAACCTGAGTTTGGTCACCTACCAAAGCATGAGTAGGTGACTACTTGAAAGAAACACACATTTAAGATGCGATCTAAGATTGCCATTTGATGCATTTGTTGGTTATAACAGAGATTTCAAGTTAACTGGGCACTGAAAAGAAACTGCCAGTCCAGTAGAGATATGCAAATGGTGATGACTAGAGCAAGGGAGAGTGGAAATGGGGTGGGATGTGGAACTAAAAGATTCAGGTCTAAGTCAGCCAGTTTCACACCTTCTGCAAGTTATGTCAGAGACTTGGTTTCCACATTTACAAACTGGGCAATGATTTGCCATCTTGACCATCTCACAGTGCTGACATGAGGATCAAACGGGGATGACGTATGCCATAAACCTTAGGACACTGGACAAATAGTACTTATGGATACTATTCTACACATTCTACTTGGACTTGGAGACATTTGGTTTTCATGGAAATCACAATAGTAACAATATAATATATATTATATGTCACATATATACAAGAAGTATGAAAAATTATAATAAAAATAAATAATAAAATAAAATAATAATAAATTATTTTTCTAAGAAAAATAAATTATCTCATCCCCCTTAGTCTAATTCTCTAAGGGGGATTCACATGTACTTGCATTCATTGATGGGTAATAGCTGATATTAGCAACAATTGGCACACTCTATTTTTAAAAATCATTGTAAGTTTAGAGGGGATTCTGGTACAGTCTAGCTTTTGCTATGCTCTAAGTATTATACAGGAGCAAGGTGATATTTGTGTGTGGGGAGAAAACTATTATAATAAAAATAAGGCATGTGTTTATTGTTGAATATTCACTGTCAAAGGTTAAGAAAGGAAGATATAATTCATTGACTATTTATTTGCTATTATTGACCTGTGATAAATCTGAGGGATAAAGTAGCAAGGTAGCAATGAAAGTAATTTTTCTAAACCTCAATAAAGCTGGGGGAAAAAAAGAAAAAGAAACTAATTCTTCTGTTATCCTTGACATCTTCATCAAAGTTTGAAATATCTGGCCAACAGTTAACCGTCCTAACATATTTGAGAACTTACTACATGTAGAGTGCTATAGTGCACGCTAAGGATGGTAAAATAAATATAAGATGCATTTTTTTCTCA